TAATGAGTTCCTTTGAGAGAGCACTAAACATAGAGACATTGTTGCATTATTCCCTTTTAGGAACTGTGCTTTGTCTGAATGACAAATTTATCAGGAAAGATTGTTTTTCAAGAGGGCTACTGGGGTTAATGTCACTCATGGATTGCACACGCTTAAAACCACCTGACTGTTAAAAGGCATTCTAGTTCATTTTCTTTATCAAAAATATTAGCCGGGTTTATGAGTTTCCCAGTGCTGTTATTAAATGCTAGTTTCTGCTCCTTAAGCACAGACACACTTGGAGATCTGAGTTTATAAAAGGGCATGACTGTGTACCAAAGGAGGACTGGACCTTGGAGCATGTTCATGAGAGAGCACGGCTCACCCAGAGAGGAGGCTGGACACAGCTTCCAGAGCAGCCAAGAGTAGCCAGTGATGTCAGGGGAAAACTCAGTATTATCTTTTCTGGTAGAGTACGCTTTGTCTCTTCTCCAGCCTCTAACAGGCCTATTTTGTTGACATAGACATTGTGGAGACTTTCGGTTTATGAGTTTCCCAGTGCTGTTATTTAATGCTAGTTTCTGCTCCTTAAGCACAGACACACTTGGAGATCTGAGTTTATAAAAGGGCATGACTGTGTACCAAAGGAGGACTGGACCTTGGAGCATGTTCATGAGAGAGCATGGCTCACCCAGAGAGGAGGCTGGACACAGCTTCCAGAGCAGCCAAGAGTAGCCAGTGATGTCAGGGGAAAACTCAGTATTATCTTTTCTGGGAGAGTACGCTTTGTCTCTCCTCCAGCCTCTAACAGGCCTATTTCATTGACATAGACCTTGTGGAGACTTTAATTCTTGAATCTGTGTTCTAGAGTCTGCTTAAATACTTACTTGGAGTGAAAGAATATAGCTGAGAGCCCCGTGGAAAGGTTGCCTTTCTAATGAAAGGCTCCTACTCTTCAGGACTTAAATATCCAAGGAGAAAGGACCATGAAGATTGTGATGGGCAGCCTGCTGTCTTCACAGGCTTTCATGTTATAGATACTTCAAAAGACTTCATACGGTGTTCATTCCACATACATATGGGATACAAAACATTTCGTAATACCCAGCAAAATTTATAATCTATAGTAAAAGATCAAAAACTGCTTCTACAATATAACACAGGAAGGGAGAAATGTTAAAAGATCAAAAACTGCTTCTACAATATAAGTCGGGAAGGGAGAAATGTTCACTTTAGGAGTCCAAGTATGTTGATCACAAAGTTCAGCTGTTTTGCTGGGATGAGGTGACAAGGTGATTGTGCTGTTCAGAGCTTTTGTACCTGCTGATGGTTTGCTCTGCAACAGAACACTAAGTATGAAAACGGTGGCCTTTGCTCAGACCTAAATTTGGGCATAATGAAAAGGGTGCAGATTGACATGAAGAGAAAGAGAAATGCAGACTGTCATTTTTTCTGGATCAGATGATCTTCCAGAAACATGATTTAAATAGTCTATAGTCAAATAATATGTAACATAGGTAATTACATCTCTTTCCTTTCCTTTTCAGGTGGCTATGGTAGAAGTTCAGCTCGACGCAGACCATGACTACCCTCCAGGTCTCTTGATAGCCTTCAGTGCCTGTACTACTGTCCTTGTTGCAGTTCACCTTTTTGCACTCATGATAAGTACCTGCATTCTTCCCAATATAGAGGCTGTTAGCAATGTGCACAATCTCAACTCTGTCAAGGAGTCTCCTCACGAGCGTATGCATCGGCACATTGAGCTTGCGTGGGCATTTTCTACTGTCATTGGGACTTTGCTTTTTCTTGCAGAGGTGGTATTACTGTGTTGGGTGAAGTTTCTTCCTTTGAAGAAGAAAACTGATAATCCACTCCAGAGCAACAGTTCTACCATCACATCAGGAGAGGCAGCAGCCATTGCATCGACCTCTATTATGGTTCCCTTCGGATTGATTTTCATTGTGTTCGCAGTCCACTTCTACAGGTCACTGGTGAGCCATAAAACAGACAGGCAATTTCAAGAACTCAATGAACTCGCGGAATTTGCACGGCTCCAGGATCAGCTGGATCACAGAGGTGACACGATCTCCTCAGCTGTTACCCATTTTGCGTAAACCTGTACTTAAAGAAAATAAACCCATTATTCTGCTTCTGCCTTGTTATGTTGGTTCCCCTGTGGATGAACTGGTTGAACTGTTGATTACTGTTGAAAGAGAGATTATAAATGTTGTTCTAACCCTTTAGAGAGGGGAAAAAAAAAAATGTTGTTCCTTTCATAAGACTTTGGCTCTCTGACCTCTGAAGGAATAGAGGGTGGGGTTTGCACGTGCATCCCTCCTCTTGTGGGCACTGTCCAGGTTGCTTCTTATTAATGCTGAATGGTAGCTGTATAAATACATGGAAAATAACATTGTAAATTTGGTATTTGTTAGGGATGGACAGAGAAGGTTTTTTCTCCTCTCTTTATTTGATGTTGGCATTTACTAGAAGATACCGCTTGTCCGATCCATATTGCATGGCATGATACAAATTACTTGGGATATGCAGCAATTAGCACTTGGTTTCAGTGCTAGTGCTGCTCTCTCTAGAAAGCCTGACAGATGGTAGAAGTGAAAGCTTTCCCACCACTTTCCCCAGTATGTTTTGCTGCCAAGTAATTATTACTTTACTGATTTCTCCAGCGCCTTTTTCCCGTGGCAGTTACACATTTTCTAACTCGCTAAACACCCATGACTGGTCTTACTGCGATGTGGTGTGGCCACATGAGTAGGAATGAGACTCTACTCTACTCTTCCTCGGAAGAAAATAAAAGCAATAACTGTTTTAAAGTTCTCATGAGCTGGCACATATTATCTGGAGAGATAGATTTGCCTGTTTCCGATTTAGGAATCTTTTTTTTAAAAAGAAGGAACTAGATGGAAATTATCACTGGATAATTTTTTTGCTTGAAAATCAGAACCACTGCTGTTTTTTTTTTCCAAGCCAAAGTAGTAATTGTTTTGTACTTTTATATTAAAAATATATTTTTAATAAATCCTCAGACACAAGCAGCAAAAGGTGCTTTCTCTGCATTGGATTCCCAAGTAATTAGCTATGCCTTGGTCTTCCTTGTTTAGAAAAAGTCTTCTCCTTGCTGAAGTGTTATATTTAATAACTTGTTATACGTTTTTGCTTCCAAAGGATCTAGAAGACTTCTTTTCTCTATGTAGATTTATTTATGAAAATAGGTTATTTGTAATTAATATTGCTGCTTACTTTCAGACACGTGTCTGTTACGGTGAGGTTACTGTGTCGTTTTTTATTTCCTCTTTATGCAAAAACTTCCATTTGGTCTCTTAGGTAAGAGCCTTATCCAAGAAAGGTTGCAGCAGTTGTCCTGGGCTGCTTCAGTAGTTCTACCTATGTCTGGAAGTGGAATTTTTTGGAATGCAGTTCTTCTGTGGAGCAGCTTTGGGCTTTAATTGGGTAAAAACTGTTTTTTGAACATAGACTGACACAAGTTTCAAGTCTAGTGGAACAAAACTTGACCTCCCTATTGTAGCTAGCACTGTGGAATAGAAACCTAGAGTTTGAAATGAGACAGCAGAGAACAGGACAGTATGGTGGAGCAGTACCTGACCCAGCCTGGGCTGAATGTGGTCGCTCACACCAACCTCCATCTCAGGTTATCCCAAAATATTTCCATGCTGTAGGAGGTGCCTACAGAGCGAGGGTGGCAGAGTGTGGTTACTACTGAGGCAGCCCCGTGAAGGGAATGGCACTGATTTCTCACGTCGGCACCACCGCTGTGGAGAGTGTTGATGAGGTCACCTGTGGTATATTTGGATTCTGAAAAATAATCATTTAAAAAAACCTGCTGGGCTCTTTTTTTCAGCGGTGTTCTTGGTTCGCAAGGAGAAAGCAGCTTTTCATTTGCCGTTTACAACAAGGCCTTCTGGCACACAGATGTCAGGCTGGATTTTCTCCTGCTCTGCCCGTTACATTGTGCTTCAAGTGTATTCTGTTACTGATGTAAGTCTGCTGATGGTGAGAATTGTGACTACAGTCCTACAGGTGTTCATTCATGGAGCACTGGAAGGATTGTGTTAGTAAAGGCATTAATGAAGCAGCATTCCAAAACACGAAATCTTAGTAATAGGCACAAAATGTGTTTTTCCATCCTTTACTGGAATATTATTCCTGTCTTGGGGAAAAAAGACTCTTCAATCCACTTAGTCAAGAAAGAAAACTTGACTCAATATTCACACTAGAGCAAATGGTTGAAAGGGTGCTGTCAGGCCTCAAAATTATGCTTCTGTCCATAAATTGTGTATTTAAAAGTTACAATGTTATCTTGAATGGAAGTCCAGACAATATATTTTCCAAGTTTATTTTGTAAAATTACTCGCTGTCCTGGATAAGTAGCTGAATTTCTCTTTATCTTGTGGATCTTTTACAAAGTGACAAGAGATGTGTGGGGTTTTTTTTTGTTTTGTTTAAGAAATACAGAATTAGAAGCTACTGGGACAACCTTATTTTTAACTTTCTCAAGCTGGTAGGTTCTGAACTAATGGCGCTGTTGTTACAGCTGCTTCTCTGTCTATTTTCTGCACTTTAAGCCATGATATCGAGTATGTTTCTCTCATTTTCCAGCTGTGGAAATGGTTGTGAAAGTTACACCTTGGGTACAGTCTTGCAGCTGTGTGCCAGGGGCAGTAACCAGACCCAAGCACGTGGATCTAAATGTTAAGAGTGCACTTACAATTTGGTTTTTATCCCTTATTTATACTAATATTACACATTTACCTCAAGCATTTTAAACATTGGTTATTGTATATCACTTATTTAGATATAAAATACTATACTGAAATAAAATATACCCAGTTGTTGCTGATTGATTGTTACCTAGAGGTGTGAAATATGCTTATTTTCTTTATATCCCTCATCTCTTCAGCTATATTGTGCTAATCTTGTCTATTTCTGAGGATGTCTTAGATGTATTCAGTTACTCATTCCAGTCATAATACAAAGATAAAATTTCCTGTTCACGGAGGCAGGTATAAAGATGATAACACAGTTGACGTGCTTTTCCTCCTGTCAGCACTACTTAAATCTGGGGACGCAGCATGTTGTATTGTTACTCCCTCAAGTGCTTAAATAGAGAAGCAGGTTATCTCTCAGCCTAGAAAACATGAAGAGTCAAGGGACCAAATGAACTGTTAAACAAGAGCTGATACTCAGAAGCACGGTATTAATCAGGTGAACTAATGACCCACTCCCACAGTTGGTTTTTCACCAGCTGGCTGCAGTGCTGTCTTCCCATGGTCTTGTGGGTGTCACTCCGCAGGGAAGCGTCGCAGCTCTGCGTGGGGTCCTTGCCTCGGGTAGAAACGGAGCAGCCATCCCAGCCCCACTGGGTGCCGGGGGCCGGTGCACGGGCTGGCCCAGGGGCAGAGCTGGGGTGAGATTGGGTGCTCTGCATTCCCAGGGTTAGGGGTGAGAATCGGCATCACGTTACGGAAGACACACACACAGAGCAAGTGAAGTTTCATTAATAAAAAATATTAATTGAAACATGATCCGTTATAATTTCAAAAGCCATCTTGGGTCACAGGTATGTATTGGGCTAAACTTGGGAGGAAGTGGGAAGGGACAATTAATTTGACTGCACTTTTCTAGGGCTTTGCTTTTATAGCACATAATAGAAACCCTGCTTCTTCTCTAAGGCAAAGTGAAAGCCCTTGAAACCAGCTGAGTGTGGTTTCTTTACAGGAAGAATAAGCCAGAAGAACTGGGCAAAGAGTCACTGTGGCTGACTTCCACATTTTGCTGTTGGTGGGTTTTCTCTCTTTTTTTTTTTTTTTTTTTTTTTTGAATTTCCTTTTTGTTTTGCTGCCTTTTCCAAAATCGTGGGGGGTGGGAGGAGATCTCCGAGCAAAGCCACCTTCAGAGTGAAGCAATCATGGGCAGCCTTGAGGGGAGGGTGAAGCAGATCATGACACGATACACCCCAGTGTGGATTTGAGACTCCAATGAATAAGTAACCCAGGACCGTGTTCTTATCTCTCAGCTTTTTTTTTTTTTTCCTTTTGCATCCGGTTATTAATTTTGGCTGTCATCAAACATCGCCTGGGCCTCTGCTAAAACACCATCTGGATCAGCTAGTTCAATCTAAATAAAAAGAATACAAATCAGTTATGCAGTGTAATTGAAGAAGCTTAAGGTTTTATAGATATTGATTACTCGAGCATTAACAGAGAATCTCCCGTGTATCGGGACTTCACTTTGTATTGCAGCCTTTCAATTACTGGTTTTGAAATAGTGCTATGCTTTCCTAATTTTATCAGCACGTTGAACATCACTTTATCTCCTTGAAATAGCTCTGCATGGAGGGGTCTCATTCTCCTTTAAGCCCTTCTTAGACAAAACTGGCTTTGATTTGTAGCCTGTTGGGTCTCAGGTATTGTTTCAAAAGGTGAGTAATTGCAGTTGCCCAAGTGAGCATCAAAGATCACACGAAAGCAGGAGTCTGGAGTCACTGGTAACTGGATGCAGATTCTTGAGAGGGAAGTGCCAAAGCTCTGCCAGGAACTTGTCATCTCGCTCTGACCTGCTTTTTGTCCTGATGCTTTCTAGGGGATTCGTGTGTGTGGTGCTCTCCCAGGCAGAAGACATCCAGTCTTGTTCTCATTTATTTTATTACGCTCTCTGAAACCTTGGCTTCAATAATTATAACAGCAACTATCCCAAGTCTACCATGTTGTGTCTTTCCCTGTCTCAGCAGTTACGTTCAGATTCTGCCTTGATGTATCCCCATCACCCACGTACTGGATTCCTTCAAAGCCTGTGATAATCGCTCTCTAGTTTTCAGCAATTTTCCATCCTGTGCATCCCCACCCTTTGTTCCTTTTACCTGCTAATGAAGACACACAGCGATGTTTCTCCCATGTGGAAGCTCAGATCCTCACCGTTAACCTCTTGCCAGGCAAAAGCTGACTAGTCCATCTCTGGTTTTGGCAGTTTCTAACGTTCACTTTGTATCTACTTTTCTCTAACAGCTGCTCATGACAGTAATTTGGCAAAGGTTTATGAAAATCTGAAGTCAATTTTTCTCCTTTTATCTGTTACTTCCTTCATACTCTGAGATCGATAAATCTCTTCCAATGGCAAGTGCAATAAAGGCAGTGAAAGCTGATGCGTTCTTTTTGCTCATAGAGCAGAAGAGAACTGGGTCATAATTTGGTCTTCAGGGAGTTAAATAAACAGCCACACTTGAACATCCTGCTTTAGCGAAAGGGTAATTTATCCCAGGGCTGCTGGGCTGGGTTGTTGGAATCCGAGGCTGTTCTCACTGACCTTTGACAAACTTTCTAAGGTAAATATTTTTAGCTACAGAAGTACTGGGCCTTTCACTTTTTTTTTTTTTTTTTCTAAAATTGAGATTGTTTTTCCCTGGTGAGTGTTTGGTATTTATTATTCTGCACTGCCGTGGGTGTGCCTAGTACTTACACGATTAGCTGGCTTGTCAAAAACGTCTGTGCTCAAAGGGCCTTTGCCATAGAAATCAGATTTGAAAAAATAAGGGAAGCAAAGATGTAACAGCCGTGAGCTTCGGTAGCCTGTGGGTGCCCAATATCATCTGCAATAGCTGTGTCCCAGGAGCAGAGGAGGAAGGTTTACCTGCCACGGGGCCGTGCTGTTCCCCGTGTTATTGGAATAAAGCAGGTTGCTGTGGTTGTCCAGCGCGGTTCTGCTCGGCCCTAAGCAAAGGAGCCTCCCCATCTGCTCTGCACGTCCCTCTGCCCTGTTGGGCATGGCCAGCCCCTAACTTGGGGTACCAGGGTAAAGGAAATAACTGATATTAGCCCTGCAGCTGCTCGCGTTTCGGTAAGGTCTAGTCGCCTTTAGCAGCTTGGTGAAATCATTTTGTTTTGACGCAAATCCCACTATTGTCTCTGCCTCTATTGTCCCTGTTTCCTTTGTGCTGCTCCAGGTCTCTAAGCAGTTTTGGTGCATGAGAACGGCATTTTTTCAGCTGTAGGCAATTGGGAGGTTCCAGCTGTTGCTGGACAGGCCCTTTGTCCCTAAGGGGTTGTTTAGGACAGTGTTGGCCAAAAGACTGAACACACACCCCATGAGCTGGAAAACCTATGGGGATAATCACTTGAAGAGTGAAATGGTACCTGGAGAGCTGCCCTGAGCGCTGATGAATGCAAACATCACTAGCAAAACCAAAATTCCCAAACAATTACCTTTGGGATTGGATACTGAGGAGGGGCAGGAGCTTCGGCTCTGCCAAAGTCAATCAGAATTCCACACTTTGGTATATCTGCTGCCCAGATACCTTCAAACAGTTGTCCCTTGTCCAAGTAGAAAAATTTCCCTGGGCCATGCTTCTTTCCATCTTTCCAACCTCCTTCGTACCGATTTTTGTTTGCTGCAATTAAATACACAAACAGACCATGAAATTCGCACTGTTTCATTTAGGGGCTACAAACAAAACCAATCAACACAGCAAACCGACAGGAAAGGAGATAATCTGTTTGGCTCCTCTTAGTAATTTGGAGGGGGCTGTGGCACAGGGTGGTGTTTTGCTTTCGTGATGCTCCATTTGCTGAGCCGCAGAGGGAGAAAAGTTTGCGGAAGAAGCCCACCCTTGCCCGCTTGGAACAAGAACTGCATTCACCTGCTTTGTTGTTCTCCTGGTGATACTCAATTTTTGCTGTTAAGCAGAGCGAGTGAGCCCAGGGTAAGACTAGTAGCTGAGTCACTCTTCACAACACGAAAAATTATAGGACACAAGTTTTGAATTTGTCACTGCAACAAATCATGAAGGATCTCTGGCTTGAAGAGGTTTGCTTGTCTGGGCAGGAACAGCAGCACTGTCTGATCATTGTCCAGTCAAAATAATCTTGATTTCAAATAATACTTGTAGTTATGTTTTTCCTCAATGAATTACAGAGCAAGACTTGCTGTGAGTTGTCTGAAAGGTTCAGGCAATTGGTTACAGACTGTTTTTCCAGCTGTACTGCGTCTCTTAGCGTTTTTCTGCAAGTCAAGAGAAGTTTTTTTGAGCTCTGTGCTACTCTCCAGGAATCACAAACAGGGAAAGCAGAGCTGCAAGGGGAAGAGAGCAGCCTCGTCCAGGGGTGCTGGTTGAGAAGGGGCATCATACCTACCATGCTGGGGATGGGATACATCCAGGCCACCCATCTCTCACTAGGAAAGTCCTCTGCTGTCCCCTTTTCCTACTTACAGTATTCCAAAACCAAAAAACATGGGGATTTCTGACCAAGTTTCTCAGTGGAAATATCTTTGGGTCTCAGCTGAACTCTGCCATTCTTCGTGGTAAAAGGTGGACAAAATACAAGGGCACCCAGCGTGGTGCCACAGAGATAGCTGGGGGTTGCCAGAGCTCCATAAGACAAGAGGTAAAAATCCAAAATGCTTCTGGAGAGTGTGGCTGCCGGGCATTTCAGGCAGGGTCTGGATTACAGGTTGGAGGTGGTTATCTTCAGCTTGCATCTGGTGGTGAGCTTATCTGCAACGCCAACCTGCCCTGCTCATTGATGGCAGCAGCTCAGCTTCTGCTCTCCAGCCATGAGCAACACATAAACCACCAAAATCACAGACCCGGCTGTGCGGAGGGGCCATCAAACGCCCTGGCTGCACCACAGCTCCCAGCTGCTCCCATCCACTCTCCACCTCAGAGGCTGCGTTGTTCACAGCCGACATCTTCTCTGCGGATGTCCAATGCTCCGGTTTAAAAGCCGCTCAGGAATGGGCTATAGCAGAGGCGGCAAATCAGCGCGGTGCTCCCGGGCACGCTGCCACTACAAGCAATTTAATCTTGAGCTGCAGCTCATCGTGACCTCCACTGAAGAACTCCTTTTCTTTCACCATTGCAAAGCTGCCGGCACGTGGGCACACTTCCAGCGGCTGAGCTGAATACATTAGGCTTGTGGGTATGAAATAATTGCCCTGGCTAATTTTAACCAAAAGGAATCCAGCTCGCAATCAGTAGCAGGCTACGCTGGAGGCAACTGGGCTCTGAAATGGTGCATCAGCCACAGCTCAGCCCTGAGGTGTCGTCAGTTTATAATGCTGAGGGTGACTTCAACGGGATCAAAGCAGATCAGTGGAAGGAGTGACCCCTGAAGTGGGTGCTGATTTCATCTGGATGAGCCATTGGGCCAAAGTGACTTGACAGTCTTCAGAGCACAGAGAATGGTTTGGGTTGGAGGGACCTTAAAGATCATTGAGTTCCAACTCCCCTGCCCTTAGCAGGGACACATCCCACCAGACCAGGTTGCTCAAAGCCCCATCCAGCCTGGCCTTGAACACCCCCAGGGATGGGGCATCCACAGGTTCTCTGGGCAACCTGTTCCAGTGTCTCACCACCCTTACATTGGAGAATTTCTTCCTAAAATGTAATCTAAATCTACCTTCTTTCAATTAAACCCCATACCCCTCATGCATGTGATGTGCAGTGAAGGTTGAGCTCATTCCTCCCAGCTGCTTTACTTAGCTAATTACTAACCTTGGGATCACTCTCAAGCTAAAAAAAAGAGATGAATACTAATATGGAGATAGTATTTCTTCAAATGTTTCTGGAATGCAGTGCTTTGTACTGCAAAGGACCGGGATTCTTGGCTTTGGGGAAAAATATGTTAAACTCCAACCAAAAAGAGGGGAAAAAATTCCAACTTTCTATTTTTATGCCAAGATTGCCCCCAACATTCCCAATCCGTGATGTGCTCAGTGTTATTTCTGGGAAGGGATCATGTACTAATGAAACCCCTGTGTTCACTCAACATCAGCCAGTGTCGGAAGTAAGAGAGGGGATGGAGTGAACTCTAAAAGAAAACTTCTCTCTTTTTTTTCTGTGCTGGAAACTGGACTCCTCTTTGGTATGCAGCAGTTAGAAAGTATGTCTGGCAAAGTGCCTGGCTTGAAAAGAGAGATTTGCTCTTCTCTGACCCAACAGTATATTATCTCTAACCCTATCCATCCCAGTCATTTAAATGTAAATCACAGCAAAAATAAGCTTTCTTGCGTGTGGGCTTGAGCAGTGCAACGCTGGCCCTTGCACAGCCTGTGCTGCCTCCAGCCCCAAACCAGGAGTGGGGGGCAACACAGGGGAGCAGCCACAACCCTGAGGCAAGGCTGCAGCAGGAGATGTGATGTAGCATCCAAAAATCTGGACGGTACGAGAGATCCAGAGATCAGCACACCACCAAATAACTTGAAGGGGTCAGGCAGATGCATTGGGTGAGGGTGGCTGGTACTTACGCAGCCGCAACATCCCCTGCCCGCCAGGCCTGTCCTCCAGCCACTGCCCCTCGTAGATGGATCCATCCTGGTAGTACATCCGTCCCCAGCCGCTCCGCAGCCCAGCGCTCCACTCGCCCTCGTAGCGCTCCGCACCAGGGTAAAACGTCACCCCGTAGCCCTGCAGGGCAGCACAGAGATGGCCAGTTAGGAGTCTTCGGATTGAAAGGGGTCAGTGTTCAGTTTTGGGATACTATCTTGATAGCTATTCCTTTGCTTAGTGCTCTTACACATGGCTGCTGGCAGCCCAGCTCGCTGGCCACTCACATGTTGAAGGAAACGAGAGGTGATGGTAAGGGATTTTTTTTGGCAAATTATTTTATTCCCACAGCAAAACGTTAGGTTTGTGTCTCAGTGTGTTATTACCAGCACAATCACTGCTAATATTTAGGTAAAAGTGGGTTTTACTAGTATATAAAGCTGCCTGGGGATAGGCAGCGTAAACAAGACCTGTCTCTCAACACAGGGATTTTATGCCTTTCAACCCTGACAATGCTTCCTGCAGCCCAGAGTGTCCCAGGCTGGGCAACTCCTTCCCTCATCCCTGAGCAGACTGAAGGTCTTTAAGTGATGCTGATGATGGAAACGGTTTTGCCTTTTCTTCCATCCATATCCCCAAAGAGGCAATGTCCTAAACAGCCCCTTGGCCTTGCTTCCTTCCTCCTTCACAAGAAATTAAAGCCAGCCTGGGAGGCTACCTGCGGTGAGAGCGGCAGGCACAGGCAGCGATGCCACACGTGCCTCCCCGCAGCCGGGCGCTGGGCCAGGCTCCCAGGGCAACAGGCATCACCCCGACGGGGCAGGAGAGCTCTGACACTGAGCAGTCTCTGCTCTTTGCTTTCTCCTCAGGCTCAATGCCACTGGTGGGTTTGGTTGGTGAATTTATGAATTAAAACCACTGGGTGTGCCCAAACTGGAGACCCCAAGGAGATGTTTGTCTTACATGTTTGTTTGCCATTAAGAGAAGTCCAGAGCTACCCCCTGTACCAGGGAGTGATAACCAGTAAGAAATATTTACATATTCCTAATGAGTTTTCCCATAGGAATAAAGCATTAATTTATCTCTGCGCAAAAAAAATAAAATCAGTTCTAGAAAGAATTTATTTTTCTGAGCATTAATTTTACTAAACTGCATGGATGTAAAAGGGAGAATTTTGTAGAAGCAAAAAACAACCCTAGTAATATTCAGATGTCACATAAATCTTTCACCAGAGCTCAATCATCCTCAAAAAATGGGAGGGGAATCTCCCTCCAAGACACTGGAGCCATAGAGCCACATGCCAATTAGAAGCGTAAGAGGCTATTAATTTAAGAGCAGACACAAAGACAAACACAAGGTTTCCATTGGCAGATGAGAAAATGTTCCTACAAGGATTTTGCACATAAGATTGCAGTCATTTTTACCAGATGACTTCCTCATTATGTTTCCTTTAGAAAAAACAAGTGATTTATGTGACAGGCTTAATTTCCAAAAGAACCCATGTTATTTGTCTAATGCACTGTAAAACTCCCAGAAGAAGGTACGTTTTCCTGCAGTGCTTATAATGCGGGTTCCTCCAACCTCTTCAAGGATGAGAGGAATTAAAGGGATGGGTGGGGAAGATTAAGACACAGGATACAAAACCTCTCGTCCCACGTGGCTGAGCTGCAGGTGAGTCCCAGCAGTGATCACTGCTCTGTGGCAGCTGGTGGGAGGTTGGGGCCATAGCCCGGTCACCAGCACATGGGTGGGATGGGTCCCTCTCCAGAGGGGATATGGTGGGTAATGGGGTGCTCTCAGCCACACTTGGCTTTTTAAGAACGATGGATTTTTACTCTTGTAGCTTCCTGGGTTTTCTGTAGGTTCAAATTAAGATCTAAAGAGAGCCCAAGCCTGAAGGAAGGTTTGTTCCCCTAGCTTCTGCCCAATGTCACACTGCTGCTTCCCTTCCGAGGGTCGTGGGACATGGTGCAGCTCCTGCATCTGACGTGGAGAGGCAAGTAATACTAGGAGAAGTGACATGGGGAGAGCAGGAGATGGCTTAAACACTAGAGCTTTTGCTCTTGCTTTCATTTTCTTGTTCCACATATTTGTTTCCCCAAAACCCTTCAATTCAGCCTCAGTATTTGTAAAATAAGTATTTCAAGTTATCTTTCTGCATGTGTGCACCCAACACTTCCCCACATTTTGGGGAACACTGCCTTGCCTCCAGCAGGTGCAGGAAATCTCACTTACGCATTTCATGTCGTTTTTCCACCAGCCTGCGTACACCTTCTTGTATTCCTTGGTTACAGGGTCAAGAATGCTGTATGAGCCATAACCATCCCGCTTTCCAAACTTCCAGTCACCGCTGTAAATAGCTCCGGCCTGTTTCCATACCTGGATGCCTTTACCTGTTTAACAAACAAGAGGGATTTCAGGGAGGCCATCGTGGTTGTTAGGAGAAGGATTTACAGGGCTGCCTACCTACGGCTCCATCCCAGGCGAGGCGGCGCTCCCTGCACCGAGGCAGGTTTATGTCTGGGATTCAGTTTAGCTTCCCGAGTCGGATGCATCATTAATCTTGATCAGGGGCTTCCTGTGTGGCCTTTGCTGAATGCACTTAAATCTTTCCAAACCTTGGGTTACTGCTTGTAAACAAGCCTGTCCTGCTCCGGCTGCTCAGATCTTGGTCAGGGTCTTCTTCCCCTGCTCTGTCTCCTGCAGCACCCACCATGACTCGAGGACAAATTAATATTCCTGAAGCCAAGTCAGGAGCTGAGAGAGTGCCAGGGACTGCGCAGCCAGGGCACGTCCTGGTGTGTGGAGCTGACTGCAGTTTGCTGTGTTTGCAGAGGATTTTTACACATCTACTATCTAGATATTTCAGGTAATCGCCTCTGAGTGCATGCAAAAGCTCTTCAAGTTACCTATTAGAAATATTTCTGAGTACATTTTTGCATGACATAAATCAAAGACATATATATACACACACATACAGTCATACATGAATGAATGATCTTCCAGGAGCACATACAACTGCTGACCATTCCCTGCCCCTAGGAACTTTTCTAAAGACATTTAAATTGGTACTTTTTCTCAAAATGGTCTGTATTACCGTGTTTCAAGTTGTCCAGCCATTCTCCGATATAGTAATCCCCATTTACAGCATAGACCGTGTGTCTTAATCCACATTTCTGTGCTTTCCTGTCCCATTCACGCCAGCGAGGCTCTGGAGCCCTGGGGTATTTTACAATGGGCATATTGTTCGCAGCTGGAGAGGAAAATAAACGATTGTCACCAATAAATTAGAGAGAAATTACTACAGCAGGTACAGTCTATTTGTGAGCTATGTTTTAATAGGCACCCGAGTCAGTAACTGATGTCTCACTTTGGAGGGGTAAAACAAAGATATAACAAACAGAAGGTATCTAAAAATACTGAAGTACAAACCAGCACCATCTGAAAATAGGCTCGCAGCATAGCCTGGCCTGTTAGGAAATGTTAAATCGGTCTCAGCAGGTGGGGTCTGTGGTGGGCATTGGTCTCTGCACCTGCCAGAGGTCTTAGAGAGCACAGGGAAAGGCAGCCCCTTCTCCAGACAGTCGAAACCCTGCCAGGCTCCTTCTCAGGGCCGCTCCTCTGCCAGCTCTCCCCGAGGCTGGAGCAGTCACTTAAGCAAATTAGAAAATTATTTGTTTGCTAGGAAATATGTCAGGATGTTGGAAAACATTCACAAGACGGAGCGGGTCAGAGAGTTGGCTGGTGTCCCTGGTGTGCACCTGGAGCTTGGACACTTCATATGTCCAGCAGTAACAAAGCTCAGACTCCTTTACTGCTAAAAATATCAATCCTGAATGTGTCTTGTTAAAAGGGGTCAAAGCCACAACATTTCCATCTACCAGGAGGCTGTAGATCTGCCCAGGGCAGGACAAGCACTTGTAAGCCAAGCAAACTGCCAAAGAGGTGGCTTTTGAAGTGACCACAGGCTTTTAAGCATTAAGACCAGGCAGGGGATGACAGGCACAGCGGGGAGGTGATTCAAATGTCAGAGGTCTGGAGGGAAAGGCTCGGTGTTGGGGAAAAGCAGGGAGAAGGTGGTGTTTTGGCTGATCAATACAGAGAGGACAACAGCAGAGTAAGGCATGGTGGTGATTTCTGGGCATTGCCAGTGGAATGGCTTGCTGTTTGGTGCAGTGGGAATGCCAGCATGGATTCGGGTCTGAGAGTGCTCTCCTATAAACCATAAATAAATGCCGAAAGGTGGCTGTAGAAACAAAAAGCAAGTTTCTATGAATGCGGTTAACACCCAGGGCTTGGCTGAAGCCTGGCAGCACGGGACACTCTCTAATTTTGTCTCCTGGGCTCCCCCTTCTGTCCTGATCTGCTGGACGGAGACATATCTAGTGATTTTGCTGCATCTCCCTCCTCGGCAGAGCTCCGGTTCCTGCTGTGCTGCGCGATTTTGCTGCATCTCCCTCCTCGGCAGAGCAGAGCTCCGGTTCCTGCTGTGCTGCGGGTGCTGGGGAGCTGGGCATGGGGCAAAGCATGGAGCTTGGGATGGGAGGGGAAAGGAAGGTGCTTTGGGTCCTTGCTAGGGAATAAAAGGTAGATGTTATAACTAAGAAAATATAGTTAGCATTCATCCTCAGTTCTCCATGTAGCTGTGGGAAATGGTCATTCAACAGTTATTTGGGAGGATATCACTGCTAAAAAAAGTACAGCTGTGTCCATGAGCCTTCCTCCCCAAAACAGCTCCTTACCATGGGGCTGTGGGTGGGCGGGCACGGCCAGGGGAGCGCAGGCAGGGCTGGGGAGCGCAGGCAGGGCTGGGGAGCGCAGGAAGGGCTGGGGGACCTGCCTGGGCACTGCATTGTGAGCTCAGACCTGGGGAGGGGTAAGGGTTCCTGCCAGGCTGCCGTGGGAGGAGAGGGGCTGGGGAGTGGGTTCCCAGCTGGTCGCTCCCCCTTCAGCTGTCGAACTCGGGTACTTCCTCCACCAACCCCAAGGAGAGGTGGGAAGGTGAAGACCACCACGTTGTCAACTCTAGAAGCAGGTGTTTTGGGAAGGGTGTTGTCTATGAGGGTAGAGGAGAACTTGGCAGCTGGAGTCCCCTGGCCATGCTACCCCTTTGGGAACATCTTTCTTTGAGGACACCAAGGGCAGGATTTCTCCCTTGGTATCACAGAGTCTGCCTGCTGCAGATGATGTTTTTTCTGCAATGCAAACACAGGATACACCACAGCTGCTAAGTTTCTCCCTCACCTTTGGGGGCTGCGGCCCCCAGAGAGGGGGATCTTTCCAATATTTGCCAAGAGCTGGAGGGTTGCTGGCTCATCTCTCTTCTCCCCTTGCTGGGGGGAGCAGAAAAGCTGAGCTACAGCTACATGTACCCAACCCAACATGAGCCACAATCTCCAAGCACCTTGTGGCTGTGAAGGGATGTCTCCCCACTGTCCCCACCAGATGAGAGCATCACTGTCCCACCATCACATCTGACCACTTCTTTAGCTCAAAGCTTAGGGAGACACTGATGCCAGGTTTGTGTGATAATGCAGTTGGTATTTGCCGCCGTGGCTGGTTTTAGCCACCTCCTACAAGGGCATGGGGAGGGTGGCAGCAGGAGGCTGGCAGCAGGAGGCAGGCGGCGCAGAGCTGCTCTGGCTGCAGCCTCTCACAGCAGCTGCAGCTTTCAGTGCTGACGGCTAGAGGCTGCTGCTCCCATGCCTCTCCGCTGCTGCGCTTGGGAATGAGGATCTTAGAGAGTCCCAGAGACTCCAGACACTCGTCTGCGCTCTCACCTCGGAGCTTTGTCAGGTCTCTGGTAAAATGCAGCTTCAGTTGCCCTACAGGAAGCTCAGTTCTTCCCCTTGGGTCTACATAGGACTTCAGATCAATGCAATTTAGCTACAACTACAGTTTTTTTCCAGCTGTACATACTAACTTAATGAAAAGCAAGGTGGAAAATTCAAATGGCTGCAGAGAGGGGTCTGCTGATGGTGCCCAGCAGCACCCTGCCTGCCACTGCACCGCATCATGTTATGTGACCTCCAGAGCAGCTCTGCGGTCGCAGGAGCACCCTGCCTGACCGTCACCCAGCCCACAGGATGCCCTGGGTGAGTTCACCACTTGCATTGACCCTGCACCACACTACTGTCCCACACCAGGGTCCCTTTGCCAGCACCCTCTAGAGCAGCTAAGCCATTCACAGTCCCTCCTCGCCCCTGTGGCAATGGCTCCGAGCAGGATGCTCAGGGCACCTTTTGCTGCTCCTCCCCACCAAGAGCAGGGTGCCAGAGCAGCAATGGGAGCAGACGATGGGGAAAACCCATGTGCTTGGTTTGCAAAGCACCCCCAAGCTTGGCCCATGCCCTCCTGCTGCCCCCCACCCCGAGAAGCACGTCACGGACACCAACCTGTGCTAGGTGTAGGCTGGGTGCTGCTGGCTGCATCGTTAGGGTCGTCATAGCAACGCTGCCAAACTCCTGCGCAAAGGGTGACGGGAGCGTGGCCGGGAATGCTGCCAGAGAGCTGGAGGGCTGAGCGGCTGCAGGCAGAGAGGGATGCTGGTGGGATGGGGGCTCAACCCCACGCCCCCCGGTGAGCTCAAGGGATGGAGCCGGAGCTGGGCTCCTCCATGAAGCTGTCGAGCATATGTCATTCTCCAGAGCTAAGTGTCTTCGAGTTAAGGATTATCCAGCAGAATATAAAACGCTGATAAACAAGTGCTTCATGTTTGGTTTTCTTACACGTGCAGCAGCGGAAACCTGGAAATGAAAGCACTGATTACAGTACTGATAGGTAGCAAATAAATCAGGTGTAAGAAGGAGAAACTCCTGTGCATCCCCACCCTTTGTTCCTTTTACCTGCTAATGAAGACACACAGCGATGTTTCTCCCATGTGGAAGCTCAGATCCTCACCGTTAACCTCTTGCCAGGCAAAAGCTGACTAGTCCATCTCTGGTTTTGGCAGTTTCTAACGTTCACTTTGTATCTACTTTTCTCTAACAGCTGCTCATGACAGTAATTTGGCAAAGGTTTATGAAAATCTGAAGTCAATTTTTCTCCTTTTATCTGTTAGTTCCTTCATACTCTGAGATCGATAAATCTCTTCCAATGGCAAGTGCAATAAAGGCAGTGAAAGCTGATGCGTTCTTTTTGCTCATAGAGCAGAAGAGAACTGGGTCATAATTTGGTCTTCAGGGAGTTAAATAAACAGCCACACTTGAACATCCTGCTTTAGCGAAAGGGTAATTTATCCCAGGGCTGCTGGGCTGGGTTGTTGGAATCCGAGGCTGTTCTCACTGACCTTTGACAAACTTTCTAAGGTAAATATTTTTAGCTACAGAAGTACTGGGCCTTTCACTTTTTTTTTTTTTTTTTCTAAAATTGAGATTGTTTTTCCCTGGTGAGTGTTTGGTATTTATTATTCTGCACTGCCGTGGGTGTGCCTAGTACTTACACGATTAGCTGGCTTGTCAAAAACGTCTGTGCTCAAAGGGCCTTTGCCATAGAAATCAGATTTGAAAAAATAAGGGAAGCAAAGATGTAACAGCCGTGAGCTTCGGTAGCCTGTGGGTGCCCAATATCATCTGCAATAGCTGTGTCCCAGGAGCAGAGGAGGAAGGTTTACCTGCCACGGGGCCGTGCTGTTCCCCGTGTTATTGGAATAAAGCAGGTTGCTGTGGTTGTCCAGCGCGGTTCTGCTCGGCCCTAAGCAAAGGAGCCTCCCCATCTGCTCTGCACGTCCCTCTGCCCTGTTGGGCATGGCCAGCCCCTAACTTGGGGTACCAGGGTAAAGGAAATAACTGATATTAGCCCTGCAGCTGCTCGCGTTTCGGTAAGGTCTAGTCGCCTTTAGCAGCTTGGTGAAATCATTTTGTTTTGACGCAAATCCCACTATTGTCTCTGCCTCTATTGTCCCTGTTTCCTTTGTGCTGCTCCAGGTCTCTAAGCAGTTTTGGTGCATGAGAACGGCATTTTTTCAGCTGTAGGCAATTGGGAGGTTCCAGCTGTTGCTGGACAGGCCCTTTGTCCCTAAGGGGTTGTTTAGGACAGTGTTGGCCAAAAGACTGAGCACACACCCCATGAGCTGGAAAACCTATGGGGATAATCACTTGAAGAGTGAAATGGTACCTGGAGAGCTGCCCTGAGCGCTGATGAATGCAAACATCACTAGCAAAACCAAAATTCCCAAACAATTACCTTTGGGATTGGATACTGAGGAGGGGCAGGAGCTTCGGCTCTGCCAAAGTCAATCAGAATTCCACACTTTGGTATATCTGCTGCCCAGATACCTTCAAACAGTTGTCCCTTGTCCAAGTAGAAAAATTTCCCTGGGCCATGCTTCTTTCCATCTTTCCAACCTCCTTCGTACCGATTTTTGTTTGCTGCAATTAAATACACAAACAGACCATGAAATTCGCACTGTTTCATTTAGGGGCTACAAACAAAACCAATCAACACAGCAAACCGACAGGAAAGGAGATAATCTGTTTGGCTCCTCTTAGTAATTTGGAGGGGGCTGTGGCACAGGGTGTTGTTTTGCTTTCGTGATGCTCCATTTGCTGAGCCGCAGAGGGAGAAAAGTTTGCGGAAGAAGCCCACCCTTGCCCGCTTGGAACAAGAACTGCATTCACCTGCTTTGTTGTTCTCCTGGTGATACTCAATTTTTGCTGTTAAGCAGAGCGAGTGAGCCCAGGGTAAGACTAGTAGCTGAGTCACTCTTCACAACACGAAAAATTATAGGACACAAGTTTTGAATTTGTCACTGCAACAAATCATGAAGGATCTCTGGCTTGAAGAGGTTTGCTTGTCTGGGCAGGAACAGCAGCACTGTCTGATCATTGTCCAGTCAAAATAATCTTGATTTCAAATAATACTTGTAGTTATGTTTTTCCTCAATGAATTACAGAGCAAGACTTGCTGTGAGTTGTCTGAAAGGTTCAGGCAATTGGTTACAGACTGTTTTTCCAGCTGTACTGCGTCTCTTAGCGTTTTTCTGCAAGTCAAGAGAAGTTTTTTTGAGCTCTGTGCTACTCTCCAGGAATCACAAACAGGGAAAGCAGAGCTGCAAGGGGAAGAGAGCAGCCTCGTCCAGGGGTGCTGGTTGAGAAGGGGCATCATACCTACCATGCTGGGGATGGGATACATCCAGGCCACCCATCTCTCACTAGGAAAGTCCTCTGCTGTCCCCTTTTCCTACTTACAGTATTCCAAAACCAAAAAACATGGGGATTTCTGACCAAGTTTCTCAGTGGAAATATCTTTGGGTCTCAGCTGAACTCTGCCATTCTTCGTGGTAAAAGGTGGACAAAATACAAGGGCACCCAGCGTGGTGTCACAGAGATAGCTGGGGGTTGCCAGAGCTCCATAAGACAAGAGGTAAAAATCCAAAATGCTTCTGGAGAGTGTGGCTGCCGGGCATTTCAGGCAGGGTCTGGATTACAGGTTGGAGGTGGTTATCTTCAGCTTGCATCTGGTGGTGAGCTTATCTGCAACGCCAACCTGCCCTGCTCATTGATGGCAGCAGCTCAGCTTCTGCTCTCCAGCCACCAGCAACACATAAACCACCAAAATCACAGACCCGGCTGTGCGGAGGGGCCATCAAACGCCCTGGCTGCACCACAGCTCCCAGCTGCTCCCATCCACTCTCCACCTCAGAGGCTGCGTTGTTCACAGCCGACATCTTCTCTGTGGATGTCCAATGCTCCGGTTTAAAAGCCGCTCAGGAATGGGCTATAGCAGAGGCGGCAAATCAGCGCGGTGCTCCCGGGCACGCTGCCACTACAAGCAATTTAATCTTGAGCTGCAGCTCATCGTGACCTCCACTGAAGAACTCCTTTTCTTTCACCATTGCAAAGCTGCCGGCACGTGGGCACACTTCCAGCGGCTGAGCTGAATACATTAGGCTTGTGGGTATGAAATAATTGCCCTGGCTAATTTTAACCAAAAGGAATCCAGCTCGCAATCAGTAGCAGGCTACGCTGGAGGCAACTGGGCTCTGAAATGGTGCATCAGCCACAGCTCAGCCCTGAGGTGTCGTCAGTTTATAATGCTGAGGGTGACTTCAACGGGATCAAAGCAGATCAGTGGAAGGAGTGACCCCTGAAGTGGGTGCTGATTTCATCTGGATGAGCCATTGGGCCAAAGTGACTTGACAGTCTTCAGAGCACAGAGAATGGTTTGGGTTGGAGGGACCTTAAAGATCATTGAGTTCCAACTCCCCTGCCCTTAGCAGGGACACATCCCACCAGACCAGGTTGCTCAAAGCCCCATCCAGCCTGGCCTTGAACACCCCCAGGGATGGGGCATCCACAGGTTCTCTGGGCAACCTGTTCCAGTGTCTCACCACCCTTACATTGGAGAATTTCTTCCTAAAATGTAATCTAAATCTACCTTCTTTCAATTAAACCCCATACCCCTCATGCATGTGATGTGCAGTGAAGGTTGAGCTCATTCCTCCCAGCTGCTTTACTTAGCTAATTACTAACCTTGGGATCACTCTCAAGCTAAAAAAAAGAGATGAATACTAATATGGAGATAGTATTTCTTCAAATGTTTCTGGAATGCAGTGCTTTGTACTGCAAAGGACCGGGATTCTTGGCTTTGGGGAAAAATATGTTAAACTCCAACCAAAAAGAGGGGAAAAAATTCCAACTTTCTATTTTTATGCCAAGATTGCCCCCAACATTCCCAATCCGTGATGTGCTCAGTGTTATTTCTGGGAAGGGATCATGTACTAATGAAACCCCTGTGTTCACTCAACATCAGCCAGTGTCGGAAGTAAGAGAGGGGATGGAGTGAACTCTAAAAGAAAACTTCTCTCTTTTTTTTCTGTGCTGGAAACTGGACTCCTCTTTGGTATGCAGCAGTTAGAAAGTATGTCTGGCAAAGTGCCTGGCTTGAAAAGAGAGATTTGCTCTTCTCTGACCCAACAGTATATTATCTCTAACCCTATCCATCCCAGTCATTTAAATGTAAATCACAGCAAAAATAAGCTTTCTTGCGTGTGGGCTTGAGCAGTGCAACGCTGGCCCTTGCACAGCCTGTGCTGCCTCCAGCCCCAAACCAGGAGTGGGGGGCAACACAGGGGAGCAGCCACAACCCTGAGGCAAGGCTGCAGCAGGAGATGTGATGTAGCATCCAAAAATCTGGACGGTACGAGAGATCCAGAGATCAGCACACCACCAAATAACTTGAAGGGGTCAGGCAGATGCATTGGGTGAGGGTGGCTGGTACTTACGCAGCCGCAACATCCCCTGCCCGCCAGGCCTGTCCTCCAGCCACTGCCCCTCGTAGATGGATCCATCCTGGTAGTACATCCGTCCCCAGCCGCTCCGCAGCCCAGCGCTCCACTCGCCCTCGTAGCGCTCCGCACCAGGGTAAAACGTCACCCCGTAGCCCTGCAGGGCAGCACAGAGATGGCCAGTTAGGAGTCTTCGGATTGAAAGGGGTCAGTGTTCAGTTTTGGGATACTATCTTGATAGCTATTCCTTTGCTTAGTGCTCTTACACATGGCTGCTGGCAGCCCAGCTCGCTGGCCACTCACATGTTGAAGGAAACGAGAGGTGATGGTAAGGGATTTTTTTTGGCAAATTATTTTATTCCCACAGCAAAACGTTAGGTTTGTGTCTCAGTGTGTTATTACCAGCACAATCACTGCTAATATTTAGGTAAAAGTGGGTTTTACTAGTATATAAAGCTGCCTGGGGATAGGCAGCGTAAACAAGACCTGTCTCTCAACACAGGGATTTTATGCCTTTCAACCCTGACAATGCTTCCTGCAGCCCAGAGTGTCCCAGGCTGGGCAACTCCTTCCCTCATCCCTGAGCAGACTGAAGGTCTTTAAGTGATGCTGATGATGGAAACGGTTTTGCCTTTTCTTCCATCCATATCCCCAAAGAGGCAATGTCCTAAACAGCCCCTTGGCCTTGCTTCCTTCCTCCTTCACAAGAAATTAAAGCCAGCCTGGGAGGCTACCTGCGGTGAGAGCGGCAGGCACAGGCAGCGATGCCACACGTGCCTCCCCGCAGCCGGGCGCTGGGCCAGGCTCCCAGGGCAACAGGCATCACCCCGACGGGGCAGGAGAGCTCTGACACTGAGCAGTCTCTGCTCTTTGCTTTCTCCTCAGGCTCAATGCCACTGGTGGGTTTGGTTGGTGAATTTATGAATTAAAACCACTGGGTGTGCCCAAACTGGAGACCCCAAGGAGATGTTTGTCTTACATGTTTGTTTGCCATTAAGAGAAGTCCAGAGCTACCCCCTGTACCAGGGAGTGATAACCAGTAAGAAATATTTACATATTCCTAATGAGTTTTCCCATAGGAATAAAGCATTAATTTATCTCTGCGCAAAAAAAATAAAATCAGTTCTAGAAAGAATTTATTTTTCTGAGCATTAATTTTACTAAACTGCATGGATGTAAAAGGGAGAATTTTGTAGAAGCAAAAAACAACCCTAGTAATATTCAGATGTCACATAAATCTTTCACCAGAGCTCAATCATCCTCAAAAAATGGGAGGGGAATCTCCCTCCAAGACACTGGAGCCATAGAGCCACATGCCAATTAGAAGCGTAAGAGGCTATTAATTTAAGAGCAGACACAAAGACAAACACAAGGTTTCCATTGGCAGATGAGAAAATGTTCCTACAAGGATTTTGCACATAAGATTGCAGTCATTTTTACCAGATGACTTCCTCATTATGTTTCCTTTAGAAAAAACAAGTGATTTATGTGACAGGCTTAATTTCCAAAAGAACCCATGTTATTTGTCTAATGCACTGTAAAACTCCCAGAAGAAGGTACGTTTTCCTGCAGTGCTTATAATGCGGGTTCCTCCAACCTCTTCAAGGATGAGAGGAATTAAAGGGATGGGTGGGGAAGATTAAGACACAGGATACAAAACCTCTCGTCCCACGTGGCTGAGCTGCAGGTGAGTCCCAGCAGTGATCACTGCTCTGTGGCAGCTGGTGGGAGGTTGGGGCCATAGCCCGGTCACCAGCACATGGGTGGGATGGGTCCCTCTCCAGAGGGGATATGGTGGGTAATGGGGTGCTCTAAGCCACACTTGGCTTTTTAAGAACGATGGATTTTTACTCTTGTAGCTTCCTGGGTTTTCTGTAGGTTCAAATTAAGATCTAAAGAGAGCCCAAGCCTGAAGGAAGGTTTGTTCCCCTAGCTTCTGCCCAATGTCACACTGCTGCTTCCCTTCCGAGGGTCGTGGGACATGGTGCAGCTCCTGCATCTGACGTGGAGAGGCAAGTAATACTAGGAGAAGTGACATGGGGAGAGCAGGAGATGGCTTAAACACTAGAGCTTTTGCTCTTGCTTTCATTTTCTTGTTCCACATATTTGTTTCCCCAAAACCCTTCAATTCAGCCTCAGTATTTGTAAAATAAGTATTTCAAGTTATCTTTCTGCATGTGTGCACCCAACACTTCCCCACATTTTGGGGAACACTGCCTTGCCTCCAGCAGGTGCAGGAAATCTCACTTACGCATTTCATGTCGTTTTTCCACCAGCCTGCGTACACCTTCTTGTATTCCTTGGTTACAGGGTCAAGAATGCTGTATGAGCCATAACCATCCCGCTTTCCAAACTTCCAGTCACCGCTGTAAATAGCTCCGGCCTGTTTCCATACCTGGATGCCTTTACCTGTTTAACAAACAAGAGGGATTTCAGGGAGGCCATCGTGGTTGTTAGGAGAAGGATTTACAGGGCTGCCTACCTACGGCTCCATCCCAGGCGAGGCGGCGCTCCCTGCACCCAGGCAGGTTTATGTCTGGGATTCAGTTTAGCTTCCCGAGTCGGATGCATCATTAATCTTGATCAGGGGCTTCCTGTGTGGCCTTTGCTGAATGCACTTAAATCTTTCCAAACCTTGGGTTACTGCTTGTAAACAAGCCTGTCCTGCTCCGGCTGCTCAGATCTTGGTCAGGGTCTTCTTCCCCTGCTCTGTCTCCTGCAGCACCCACCATGACTCGAGGACAAATTAATATTCCTGAAGCCAAGTCAGGAGCTGAGAGAGTGCCAGGGACTGCGCAGCCAGGGCACGTCCTGGTGTGTGGAGCTGACTGCAGTTTGCTGTGTTTGCAGAGGATTTTTACACATCTACTATCTAGATATTTCAGGTAATCGCCTCTGAGTGCATGCAAAAGCTCTTCAAGTTACCTATTAGAAATATTTCTGAGTACATTTTTGCATGACATAAATCAAAGACATATATATACACACACATACAGTCATACATGAATGAATGATCTTCCAGGAGCACATACAACTGCTGACCATTCCCTGCCCCTAGGAACTTTTCTAAAGACATTTAAATTGGTACTTTTTCTCAAAATGGTCTGTATTACCGTGTTTCAAGTTGTCCAGCCATTCTCCGATATAGTAATCCCCATTTACAGCATAGACCGTGTGTCTTAATCCACATTTCTGTGCTTTCCTGTCCCATTCACGCCAGCGAGGCTCTGGAGCCCTGGGGTATTTTACAATGGGCATATTGTTCGCAGCTGGAGAGGAAAATAAACGATTGTCACCAATAAATTAGAGAGAAATTACTACAGCAGGTACAGTCTATTTGTGAGCTATGTTTTAATAGGCACCCGAGTCAGTAACTGATGTCTCACTTTGGAGGGGTAAAACAAAGATATAACAAACAGAAGGTATCTAAAAATACTGAAGTACAAACCAGCACCATCTGAAAATAGGCTCGCAGCATAGCCTGGCCTGTTAGGAAATGTTAAATCGGTCTCAGCAGGTGGGGTCTGTGGTGGGCATTGGTCTCTGCACCTGCCAGAGGTCTTAGAGAGCACAGGGAAAGGCAGCCCCTTCTCCAGACAGTCGAAACCCTGCCAGGCTCCTTCTCAGGGCCGCTCCTCTGCCAGCTCTCCCCGAGGCTGGAGCAGTCACTTAAGCAAATTAGAAAATTATTTGTTTGCTAGGAAATATGTCAGGATGTTGGAAAACATTCACAAGACGGAGCGGGTCAGAGAGTTGGCTGGTGTCCCTGGTGTGCACCTGGAGCTTGGACACTTCATATGTCCAGCAGTAACATAGCTCAGACTCCTTTACTGCTAAAAATATCAATCCTGAATGTGTCTTGTTAAAAGGGGTCAAACCCACAACATTTCCATCTACCAGGAGGCTGTAGATCTGCCCAGGGCAGGACAAGCACTTGTAAGCCAAGCAAACTGCCAAAGAGGTGGCTTTTGAAGTGACCACAGGCTTTTAAGCATTAAGACCAGGCAGGGGATGACAGGCACAGCGGGGAGGTGATCTGGATGTCAGAGGTCTGGAGGGAAAGGCTCGGTGTTGGGGAAAAGCAGGGAGAAGGTGGTGTTTTGGCTGATCAATACAGAGAGGACAACAGCAGAGTAAGGCATGGTGGTGATTTCTGGGCATTGCCAGTGGAATGGCTTGCTGTTTGGTGCAGTGGGAATGCCAGCATGGATTCGGGTCTGAGAGTGCTCTCCTATAAACCATAAATAAATGCCGAAAGGTGGCTGTAGAAACAAAAAGCAAGTTTCTATGAATGCGGTTAACACCCAGGGCTTGGCTGAAGCCTGGCAGCACGGGACACTCTCTAATTTTGTCTCCTGGGCTCCCCCTTCTGTCCTGATCTGCTGGACGGAGACATATCTAGTGATTTTGCTGCATCTCCCTCCTCGGCAGAGCTCCGGTTCCTGCTGTGCTGCGCGTGCTGGGGAGCTGGGCATGGGGCAAAGCATGGAGCTTGGGATGGGAGGGGAAAGGAAGGTGCTTTGATTCCTTGCTAGGGAATAAAAGCTAGAAGGTATAACTAAGAAAATATAGTTAGCATTCATCCTCAGTTCTCCATGTAGCTGTGGGAAATGGTCATTCAACAGTTATTTGGGAGGATATCACTGCTAAAAAAAGTACAGCTGTGTCCATAAGCCTTCCTCCCCAAAACACAGCTGTGTTGTGTAGTGTGCTCCCCACACAGCTCCTTACCATGGGGCTGTGGGTGGGCGGGCACGGCCATCACTGCTAAAAAAAGTACAGCTGTGTCCATAAGCCTTCCTCCCCAAAACACAGCTGTGTTGTGTAGTGTGCTCCCCACACAGCTCCTTACCATGGGGCTGTGGGTGGGCGGGCACGGCCAGGGGAGCGCAGGCAGGGCTGGGGAGCGCAGGCAGGGCTGGGGGACCTGCCTGGGCACTGCATTGTGAGCTCAGACCCGGGGAGGGGTAAGGATTCCTGCCAGGCTGCCGTGGGAGGAGAGGGGCTGGGGAGTGGGTTCCCAGCTGGTCGCTCCCCCTTCAGCTGTCGAACTCGGGTACTTCCTCCACCAACCCCAAGGAGAGGTGGGAAGGTGAAGACCACCACGTTGTCAACTCTAGAAGCAGGTGTTTTGGGAAGGGTGTTGTCTATGAGGGTAGAGGAGAACTTGGCAGCTGGAGTCCCCTGGCCATGCTACCCCTTTGGGAACATCTTTCTTTGAGGACACCAAGGGCAGGATTTCTCCCTTGGTATCACAGAGTCTGCCTGCTGCAGATGATGTTTTTTCTGCAATGCAAACACAGGATACACCACAGCTGCTAAGTTTCTCCCTCACCTTTGGGGGCTGCGGCCCCCAGAGAGGGGGATCTTTCCAATATTTGCCAAGAGCTGGAGGGTTGCTGGCTCATCTCTCTTCTCCCCTTGCTGGGGGGAGCAGAAAAGCTGAGCTACAGCTACATGTACCCAACCCAACATGAGCCACAATCTCCAAGCACCTTGTGGCTGTGAAGGGATGTCTCCCCACTGTCCCCACCAGATGAGAGCATCACTGTCCCACCATCACATCTGACCACTTCTTTAGCTCAAAGCTTAGGGAGACACTGATGCCAGGTTTGTGTGATAATGCAGTTGGTATTTGCCGCCGTGGCTGGTTTTAGCCACCTCCTACAAGGGCATGGGGAGGGTGGCAGCAGGAGGCTGGCAGCAGGAGGCAGGCGGCGCAGAGCTGCTCTGGCTGCAGCCTCTCACAGCAGCTGCAGCTTTCAGTGCTGACGGCTAGAGGCTGCTGCTCCCATGCCTCTCCGCTGCTGCGCTTGGGAATGAGGATCTTAGAGAGTCCCAGAGACTCCAGACACTCGTCTGCGCTCTCACCTCGGAGCTTTGTCAGGTCTCTGGTAAAATGCAGCTTCAGTTGCCCTACAGGAAGCTCAGTTCTTCCCCTTGGGTCTACATAGGACTTCAGATCAATGCAATTTAGCTACAACTACAGTTTTTTTCCAGCTGTACATACTAACTTAATGAAAAGCAAGGTGGAAAATTCAAATGGCTGCAGAGAGGGGTCTGCTGATGGTGCCCAGCAGCACCCTGCCTGCCACTGCACCGCATCATGTTATGTGACCTCCAGAGCAGCTCTGCGGTCGCAGGAGCACCCTGCCTGACCGTCACCCAGCCCACAGGATGCCCTGGGTGAGTTCACCACTTGCATTGACCCTGCACCACACTACTGTCCCACACCAGGGTCCCTTTGCCAGCACCCTCTAGAGCAGCTAAGCCATTCACAGTCCCTCCTCGCCCCTGTGGCAATGGCTCCGAGCAGGATGCTCAGGGCACCTTTTGCTGCTCCTCCCCACCAAGAGCAGGGTGCCAGAGCAGCAATGGGAGCAGACGATGGGGAAAACCCATGTGCTTGGTTTGCAAAGCACCCCCAAGCTTGGCCCATGCCCTCCTGCTGCCCCCCACCCCGAGAAGCACGTCACGGACACCAACCTGTGCTAGGTGTAGGCTGGGTGCTGCTGGCTGCATCGTTAGGGTCGTCATAGCAACGCTGCCAAACTCCTGCGCAAAGGGTGACGGGAGCGTGGCCGGGAATGCTGCCAGAGAGCTGGAGGGCTGAGCGGCTGCAGGCAGAGAGGGATGCTGGTGGGATGGGGGCTCAACCCCACGCCCCCCGGTGAGCTCAAGGGATGGAGCCGGAGCTGGGCTCCTCCATGAAGCTGTCGAGCATATGTCATTCTCCAGAGCTAAGTGTCTTCGAGTTAAGGATTATCCAGCAGAATATAAAACGCTGATAAACAAGTGCTTCATGTTTGGTTTTCTTACACGTGCAGCAGCGGAAACCTGGAAATGAAAGCACTGATTACAGTACTGATAGGTAGCAAATAAATCAGGTGTAAGAAGGAGAAACACCCTAAAAATGCGCATCACAGGTCACAAAACAGAAATCTAAGTAAAACTGACACTTTTCCCCTCTAATTCCCTCATCTATTGCATTTCTTCTGCAGCCATGGCGAGCAGGGATTGCCATTGTGTCCTTGTGGGTGTCTGTGATCATCTTCCATAAGGGGTACTTAACTAAGCATGTTTCAAGTATAAAAACAAATATCTTGTCTCACTCCCATAAGCCAAACACATTTGTTTATTCTTATCCTTTTATCACATTTTTTGTGCCCAACGCTACAGGCTGGATGGTAAAAATTTTGAAGCAAGTGGGGAATCTTGGTTTGAAAAAAAGCACCAGCCTCTGCAGAGGTGAGATACAGCTCGGTCATCCCTTGTGTGTTTGTCTGCCATCTTCAATGTTGGCAGCATCGAAGGTGGCTTAAACGCTGTGTCCATGCTCGGGTAGAACAGAGAGTGCGTGTGAGGGGATGGTGACAACCAGGGAACATGTGATTTTCAACTGAAATTATTATAGCAGATTACGATGGGCTAGGAGGAGAACTTGGGTTTCCCTTGATGCAATTCCCCTTGTTTTGGCCTTTCTAGCCAAAATATGGCCCCAAATTTCCTTCTTGCCTTTTTTTTTTTTTTCCTTAATTTGTTTTTCATTTTACTCTCATGGACATTGGTCACTGCCACTGAGGAGCTCCAGCAAAGTCTCCTCCACCGGGGTGGAGTTCAGTTCTGTTGCTGTCCATACAGTTCTTGCTTCAGTTGCCTGACGTTTGATTAAACCTTACATTAATTAAGACTGAAGGAAAGCTGTTAAATCGGTCATTGTAAGTTATGCTTTAATTCAGCCCATTCTACTGCCAACACAATTCATTGCAATTGACTTTTAGCTCTCCAATTTCTTTCAGTTTGGACACATTAAAGAGCAAACTAAGCAAGGGGAAGATGCATGGGGGAACATGCTCTGAAACACGCCATTTGTGGAGTGAGGTCCCATGACATACAATGCACCTTAATTTTTTTCAGTTTAAAGAGTAAGATTTTTTTTTTTAAATTAAATTAACCCAAAGGACCTCGGTATTCTACATCTGAAACCGATAATTTTCTCAATTAAAGGAGACAGCTGCTCCAAGTTGAGTTTGCTCTCATAAAGCTTGGGGAACCACCCAAGTGAAACGCCCGAACCAACGGAAAACTGTCAGAATCAATAATTTCAGTCTATTCTGGGAATTTTGTAGAATAAATAGAGAAAAAAAAAAAAAACATTTAGAGAAACATATGTTGGAACTCTTTAAAGGTGAAGAATGTGACAACAACATACTGTGGAAGTAGGATGCTCAGATGTGTGTTTTGTTGCTGCTATATTCAAAAGAAAAGCCCGAGAAAGCGGTGGGAGGGTCCTGGACTCCAACCAAGCGTGTGGCGGGTTTAGCTGGATGAGCACAGAGTGGGGGCAGCGCTGAAGGAGCTTCCCCACCGCTCTGTTTTTAAGAATTATTATTATTACAGGATTTAGGAGGGATTGAAGTGAAAGGTTTGAGATGTAAACTTCACTGGTTGCCTTTTGCCTAAGAGGCAGCCTTGCGGGAAAGCATTTCTTTAAAACTCTTCCCTTCTGTTTGCTGGGAGCAGCTCTCTCAAGATAAAAACCATGTTGGTTTTACACCAAAACAACCTAAAGTAAGAACTCTGGGTTATCTGAAATGTTGAAGCACTTACATATATATGCAAAGTGAAATGGTCAAGTTGTTGAAGCTGATGCTTAGGAGATACCCTTGCTCCATGAGTGTCTTTCACCGCAGATTTACTGCTAATTCTCTACTTAACTACCTGCAACAAGACTGTTCAAATTATTGAAGTTACCCAAAACTGAGAATTATTTGCTGCATAACTGTGCAGTGCTTTGCAGAACCCTTGATATTGTTTTAAAACAGGTAGATCACAGTAGGAAGATGGAGGCAGATAAATTTGAGCTTAGTCGAGCTAATGCCTCACTTAAATCCTTCACCGAGGAATTAATCCAGATTACAAAATGAATCAACAGAACTGCTTTCCAGTAGAAATACGTGCCAAGTATTTTATTTATCATGGCTTATGTCACCTGATGTCAGAATTTGTGAACCTGATGTCCACATTTCTATTTTGCACTGTGCTGGAAAGAGTCAGTATATCTAGGACAGGGTGGAAGACATCCAGGGAAACAGCCCCAACTATTGTAAGAGAAAAGAATGAATGTAATCTGTGTTCAGAAATATTCTGGAGAGTGAAGGAAAGGAGTTCTTGTGTGACTGCACATATATAACCACATGTACTTGAACAAAATTTAACACCAAAAGAGCAGTCAGTCACAATTTCGCTGTGATCCTTAATTTGATTTATTAATTCAATTTCTTTGATATGTTTTCTGGCAGCGAATAGCTGATGAGTTGGGGACTAATTAAGATAAAGCAAAACATTTTGTACTTGTACATTCACTGTGCAAAGGCCTTAGAAGATCTCTGGCAGCAAAAGCCAGCTGTTCAAAAGCTGGAAGATTAGATTTGCAAGATATGTTCTTAAAAATGTTCCTAAAATACTCAAATTCAGAGGAAAGGCACCATTCTTTATGTGTTGATGCAAGTGAGACACGCTTTTTTAGCCTGAAATTTAGGGTGGCTGTCTGCTCCAGAAATCCAGAGCAATAAAATAATGCTGCCCTTTCACTGTCCCTTCCCCATGGCCCCAGCCATGGGAGTGGGAATATCTGTTTTTGGTCTACAATTTCCCCAGGTATTGCTGGGAAGGCTCTCCGGATTAGTGCATATCCTCTTACTTTTTGCAGGATCAGTATTAAGACCACCAATTTGAAAAGTCAGTACAAAGTTAAATGGATGAACGTTTACAAAGATTTTTGAGTCTCTTCCTTCAAGAAGTCTAGTTCAAGAAATCTAGTTTTGGAGCATGTTTTAGTTGTAGAAATATAAATTGCAGAAAGAAAACCAAACAATAAGTTGATAGTTAAATAAACTGAATGCCAAGAAAATGGATATGGAAACCAAAGTCACTGTGATATATATTATGTGATTATCTTATGACTCCTAACTCAGAAACTGAGTCCTTTTAAAATTGACAGATCTAATTAAAATCTCCATCTTGTATTCTTAGGAAGTAAAATTATATGCACTATAATAAACAAATTCTCTAGCTCTAGTTAAAAAAAAAATAAATTACTGTTATCTTACCTTGCTTTGGTTTTATTCACAAAGATGTGATTGAAATAATGAGATTATACAAACAGCTACAATCTCCCAGGAGGTGGAAAGAGATTACAGGTAATTCTGGAATCTTCTGTAATGGTGCAGCATTAAATACTGTTAGAAGCAGCTGTACAGCCAGCCGTGCTACACTCACATTATTTGTATTTAATGAAATTATTTTGTGTTACTGTTTTAAAGAAACATATCTCTTGAATGAATATTAATAATTAGCACATCTTAGTTAAAAGACTTTGAAATAAATATTTGGGGGTTATAATTATACACAGCCTCAATATGCATAAGAATTGTTCCTTGTCAAGAGGTGTAAAGAAGAGGTATGGAAGTTTTGCATAAAGGTCCAGTGTGAGGCTGTTCCGGGAGAGTTCTGGGGGCCAGCGTGGCTCCAAGTGGGAAATGCACAACATTTCCTGCCTTTGTACATGCAGAGCTCAGAGAAACACAGACCACGGCCCTAGGGAACACATCATCAGGCTGCAGAATCATGGCCCAAGGCAAATATCCATGACTGTTATTAAGAGCCTCCTTCTGTTGAGGCTTACAGCTCAGGAATGAAATGAATAGTTTTAAGGGTTATTTACAATTTATGACGTATTCCACGAGTACTGATGAGTTCTGTAAGAATTCAGAGCACACTTGGTTCAGAGTGTGTTTTAATGAGCAGAGGAAGCCCTAAGCAAACACAGCTACATCTTAGGGGTGGCTCTCTAATAAACTGAGCTGACAGAGTGACTGCAAAGGTGGAAAATTTAGACTGGACGTTAGGAAACAATTCTTCACTGAAAGAGTAGTCAGACACTGGAATAGGCTGCCCAGGGAGGCGGTTGAGTCACCATCCCAGAATGTGTTTAAGAGTCATTTAGATGCGGTGTTTGGGGGATATGGTGCAGGGGAGAACACTGTAGAGTAGGGCTGATGGTTGGACTTGAAGATCCCAAGGGTCTTTTCCATCCTGAATGATTCTATGATTCTAAGGCTTATTTTCACATGGGAAGGGAAAATCATTTTAGTGGTAGGGAGTACTCCAACCTTGTGGTGAACTGGAAAGTTTCAGCATGTATCCAGCGCAGAATTGAAACTGTGATCCAAGATGCAATTCTTTTTCTGCAATCCAGAATCCTGCAGGCTTCCTGTAACATAAGGTGCCATTACACAGGGTTGTGGACACATGCTAGAATCTGGGATAAATATACTACAGATATAAAAAAACTCCTGTGACATTTATACTACACTTATTTGTTTATTGTTCTGCTTCAAGATCGTCAAGGTTATGTGTTTGATCTCTGGACAAGCATGGACCTCACTGAAGGCGCTGAAAGAACAATGCAATGTCTCTGTTGTTGGTGGCTGGTAAATCAGCAGAAATCCCCAACCACCACAAGTTCTGAGCAGGTTTCTTTGGAAACCGAGCAGAGAGGCAGGCAGCAGGTCATCGACTGCAGTTCAGGTGTCCACCCACACACATGTGAAAAGAACATATAAAAAGGGCACAAAATGAGCACACAGCAGTAATATAGAATGAGAAAAGGACTAGGGGCAGTGTGTACATGGAAGAAGGTCTCTACACCAAATATTTTTGGCTGTTTTTGCAGAATGAAAGGAAATGGGATCCCACAGATACTCTGTGAAAAGACAGCACTGCACTCAAAGTTTTCACTTTGGCTTCACACCTCTCCTCCCCTTGTATGGTTTGGTTAATTGCTTCCTTTTCCTTCCATTTTTCTTCCACTTTGCTTATTTCCACCCTTTTGCAACAAACCCACCCTCCAAGAAGCGCAGAACCAACATTCACAGCCCTTTTAGCTCCCGCCCATCACCCCCTGCCCTCTGCTCTCCCCCTGAGCTCCCTGAAACTGGGCCACACGCTGTGGCACCTGGACAGCCCAGAGGCCACCAGGCCCCGCTCCCAGTTTGCCAGTCCTGCCGCCAAGCGGTTTATTAATGGAATAATAATAAATAGGAAAGATGAGGTTTTGCCTCGCCGTTTTCTCGTCCTGATTTTAACGACGCGCTGCGCCCTGGGCCCAGGCCGCTGCTGGGCCCGGCCGCCTCAGCCCAGGCCCGTGGTCGCCTCAGCCAGCGGGTCGCTCTGAGGGGGCGGGCGGCTCCGCCAACGCCACACTGTGAGGGGGGTTCGGGTTCTATCTCCCCCCTCCCCAGCCCCACGGAACGCTTCGGCCTCCGCCACCGCAGGAAGGGCGCTGGGGAACCCACCGGCTCGGTGAAACCCGGCGGGCGGCGGCTGAGGGGACCCCCCCCCCCCCTCACTTCGCCTCAGGGCGGGGCGGGGCGAGG